AATAAATTAGGAAAATTACGAATTCTCGAACATTAGAATCACTATTGACTGTGAACAAAGAGTTACACATCTTTCTGAAAATGTAATTGAAATTGTTAGAAATTCTTCATGTGAAGTCTTCGTCTGTACCTAAAATAATTCAACTTTACCATATTTATGAAATTTATTGTTCTCTCATGAAAGCTTTCTATATTACTGTGGAATCAGCCATTTTTATGTATATTCACCTCATGGTTCACAAGAACCTCTCTAATAACACACACCATATATCTCCGCAGTAATGATTTCAAGATGGTGGAGAAATATGGTCATTGAAATGATTTACATTTGTCAGCATGATATATATTGTGGGAAACTCAGAAATCCGACCTTAAATGCATTACATTACAATTACTGCAAATTTCTTGATAGAGACACATGTCTGATGATTGGTGAGTACTGTATTTAAAAACCAGTAGCGTAACGAAATGAATGTTGGAACGCCCGCAAAACGTTTATACGAGTCCCATTTATAAAAGTGCTTAGACAGTAGTGTAGTGAGAAGTGTTAGAACCTTAAATAATAAAAATATCCTTCATCAAATTAATATTCAACACTGTATGATTACCATCTGAGAAATGAATGTTACTAGCAGATTATGGTTTTATTATAATAGAAATAGGGCCTACATTGAAAACTAATCAATCTGAAAGTTCTTGAACGAGCCAATCGTAATGTTTAAACAAACGACTGAGGAAATACATTTCACTTCAATCTAAAAGGCTCGAACATATTTGACGTAATATACAAAAAAAAATGGTTCATTCTCTACATAAAAGCAATAACTTGTAGTATAACGCAATACGTCATCAAGTTTACCGAAGTGAATATATTTAAAAAAAACTGTATATCAGCATCTGGAACTTAACCCTTTCCATCCCAAAACATGGAGGGAAAAACCCTACACTTTCAACACAATCCGGTGACCCCGCTTGTCCGCCTCCCTGGACGGGATTTCCCAGAGTGGAGATCACCCGGACGCAGACACAGACGCTGCAGGGGCAGGCGGGGCGGGACCGGCGGGCGGGACGGGGCGAGCGGATGG